AACAAATCAGCACTGTTTATTTGTAGAGACTATGTAAAACATTTCAGACATACATTAGACAGACTTAAGGAAGCATACACAACTTTGTCTGCTAACAGTAATCTACTACACAACTCTACATACAAAGCAGCAATATTGTTTACCACTCCTGAGCAATATACACATGTAGTAAATACAATAATACAATCTACTAATGCTCAAAACAAAGGCAAACCAGTTGATAAACATAAGAAAGTCAAACTGAAGTAACTAATCCTTACATTACAAAATGCTTACAACAATTACTGTACTAAACAAGTACAAGATTCTAATGATTGGACAAAGAATAATGTACACACTAATACAATGTATAAAGCTAATAAGTAGAGGAAATTCAATCTGCCAAATCTGTTCAATCTAACAAAAGCAAAATGTTTCAATTGTGGAAAAACAGGACATTTCTCTAAGGAATGCTGTAAACCTCCTACTGAAGCTACAAAGCTTGCACACACTAAACATCAAGCTAACATTGTGTATAAAACAAACCAAACTGTAGAAAACATGATGAACACATTTATTATTTAAACCCTAAACAAAAACAACATTAAATTAAAGGAAGGCAATGTTGAAATGAACAATAACACTTATACTCTTATTCTAAGCAACCAGGACAAACAATTCAAACAATACACTTCCTAAGTATGTACTAACATATTTACAAATACAATCATAGCTAACAAGAAATCCTATATACAAACAATGGATTTACTTGATTCTAGTACATTAATACATGCTACTCCTTATCTATTTCAATTAACAGATGTACACAACATAACTCCTACAATTGTAACTATTACAAATAGATCATTAATGACTCTTAATCAAGCTGGATCTATGTGTATCAAAATCCTGAAGAATATATGAGAAAGAAGTGTTATAACATTATAAAACATCTATTACTATCTACAAATGAACTTTTCCCTCATAAGTCAAGTACTACTATGTAGGGAAGGTTATTCTTTTATGTTTACAAACAATAATTGTACTATAACATTACTATGTAACAAATACATCAGACATATACAATTGAGAAATAATTTGTATATTTTGTACAATAATCATTTGTTAAAAACAATGAACAAACTATCTATTTATGATATACATAAACACCTTGGACATATAAGTTACAATTATATTAAACAATTATTAAAGACACAACCAAGTGTACTATCAACTAAAATAATGAACTACAAAGAAAAAGAATGTATTAAATACATAAAAGCAAATATTAAACATACACTAATACCAAAACTATGTTAATCTCCTCTTGCAAATCAATTTGGAGATCTTATTCATATTAATATCATTGGTCCTATTAAACTGTACACATATAAGAACATATGCTACTTATCAACAATTGTAGACAATTCTACTTGTTGGTGCATAATGCTCAAATTACAAACAAAATCCAATGTATATACATAATACATACAATGGACAACCAAAATATTTACACAGTACAGAGTTAAAATAAAGCTTTTACAAAGTAATAACAATACTGTATTCCTTAGTAAAGATTTCTAATAATATTTAGATTCACAAGGAACAAAACAAAGATTAACAGTACATTATACTCTGCAACAGAATGGAATAGTGGAACAAACTTATAAAACTATATTTAGAGGTGTAAGAGCATATCTAACATCTACTGAATTATAAGCCAAAGCAACAATTTATATTACCTATATTCATAATAGAACACTGTGTACTACTTTAAATTATAATACCCTACATTACAAACATTATGGAACACATAGAACAATTGATAATATATATGAATTTGGTCAATATATTATCATTCACAATGAAAATTGTACAAAAATACAATAGTAAGGTATTATTACTTGTTGGATAGGATTAGACAATGAAAGTAAAGGCTATAAAACTTGGCACAATAATAAAATCACTATCAAACAAAATATTCAATTTCTCAAAGGTAAACCTTCTTAAATTGAAGGGGAGAAAATAGACAATACAAACAATAATATGAACAAGTGTTTAATAATTAAAAATAACAAAACAGACAATAGAATAACAAGAACAGACAACAATGATACAGACAATACTGATCCTAACAAAAAAGGAAAAGTGGTAGAACCAACAGACTTAACAGACAACAAAGTTAAATTAACCAAAAAAGAAGTAGAACCTAAACTACATTAATTAGAATAGAAACAGAAACTGACAGAATGTACTATTGAGCTTGAACAATGTATGGAGAATAAATACATAATAAAACACATGTATACACTTAGCAAAAAGGATAAAGATAATATTGCCATTCATTTAACAGAATTTAATACTAAAATAAGTGAAATACAATTGGATCCAATTTCATTTTATAAAGCAATCCAATGTCTGGATTGTGATTCATGGATTACAGTTATGAAAGACAAAATAAAACAATTAGAAAATTATAATACATAGGAAATCACAAATCCACACAATAATATTAACATTATCAGAACACAATTTGTTTATAAAATAAAGTAATACACTAACAATAGTATAGAAAAATACAAAGTACAATTAGTAGTTTAAGGAAACTATCAGATTGACAACCTTAACTATTATACAGACAATTTATTTGCTCCTACTACTAGACTATCTATAGTGCAATTAATATTAGTATAGGTAGCATCTAATAATTATGAAATACATCAGATAGATATAAAATCAGCATATCTGTATAAACAATTGACAGAAGACAAAGAAATATATGTTAAACCTCCTCTAGGTAACTTAATAGACAGATTACAGAATGGACAAATATTACAATTACAAAAAGCACTATACAGATTAAAACAAGCTAGTAGAAGATAGTATAAAACACTATCTAATATACTACTTAAATACAGATTAATGAAATCCAAACATGATAACACTATATTCTTTACAAAGAAGAAAGAAATAACTGTAACCATATTATTTGTACATGTCAACAATATTACTATTGTGGCAACAAATAATAATACTATTGTAATAATAAAACAATCTATTACATGTCATTTACAATATACAGACAGTAGCAAATTACACTAGCTACTTAGTATAGAGATTCAACACAATAGAGAGTATAGATTCATTAGAATGTGTTAGACATATTATATTAATAGTATAATAGAACATTACAAACTTACAAACAAACAAAGTGTACAAACACTCATACAGTCTAGTGTTACAGTTCTCTACTCTTGTACCTTTAGTTCTGAGGGTTCTA